TGTTGGGGCGCGCGCGCGCGTGTATATAATTCGGTGATTGAGGAGAAAAATATTCTCTTTTAGATTTCTAAATTATCTTAAATTAAATAAAATATATTTTCTATTTAAACTCTTTAAACTCTTTTTATTGAACAATTATTAAAAATAAAACATTAATTTATTATTAAATTATTTTTATTTTTCAATTCAAAAATTATTCGTACTTAAATTTCTGAATTAAAATGATTGTTTTATACTTAATGATTATTATACTTCTTTCTCTCTATAATTGTATATTTTTAAATCGCATATATCTTCCTTTTATTTTATTAGTATTTCGAGTTTTGAGTTGCTAAATTTGTAATTCATAAATAGAATAATAAATACGTAACAAGATAAAACGTATGATACCTTTTTTGTTTTTCTCTTTCTGTTTCTTTTTTTAATGACCATAGTAATTGATATCAGATACCAAACCAACTACTTTCAATAGTCTATTAAACAGAAAATTTATCCAAGTATCCCAGGTTTCATATAATTTCGCAGTGCAGCATACAAAAATTAATTCTCGCAACTTTCTCTTCGGTACTTATTACAATTTCGTGATTGCCAATCTATGATCGGGGTTCGTATTAATCAAAGGTTCGTATTAAATAAACGACTCTTCGGATTTTCATTTTTCCTATTCCTACGTAGAAACGTATGCACATACAAAACAGCGGCGGATATTAACCGCGATCTAATCGATTTAACAGCAGACATATCGAAAGAGTTTGTAATTCTCAACTCAATGATTCACGACATACCAGAGGTGTACTCAGGATCGTGGGAAGGTTCCGCATGGCAGGGCACGTGAAAATAATTTATTACGCGAGCGCAACTGTAATGCCCGGACGGATAACATATTTTAACTTCGCCGCTTGGTGGATAGCTGACACTTAAGCGAGCAATCTAATTGCGAGTATCTCCGTCCACAATTAGCGGGTCAACATATTTAATTATAGTTTTACTATGACCCCGAAGGTTCTCGCCCATGATACATGCCAATCGGAATGCCGCGTGAAATACGACAATATGATAATTAGCAGTATATTAACTTCTCGCAAACATCAATATCGTGCGTTACTGACGTATGTTCTTGATTTCTATTTTTTAGCCGCGATTTTTTTGTTCGATGCAAAAAATCCTTGGATGCATGTATCCTTGCTGTAATTATGTAACTATATGATGACGTAAATCATCAGTAGTGTAACACGCCGCTTCGTTAAATGCAAAATTTCTTTTATTTATCTAAAAATTATTTGTATGTATTTTTTTATTTAAGTTTAATTAGAAAATTTATACAGTTTTTAATTCTTTATTAAACATATTTATTAAAAAAAATCTAGTGACTAGATTCATTACAGATTATATTACAAAATAAATCAAAGATTCAAAAATTTCACTTTTCCCACATAATTTAAAGATCAAAAAATAAAATATTTGGGAATTCAAAAATCTTGAACTAAAGAATTTAATAATTCTAAAATTTACATTATTTGTAAATATCGAAAATGTTTTTAAGAAACAAACCGCCGTACTCTCGTTATTTGTTTGTTAAAAATTATAAGCGCTTCCGATCACAACATCGTGATATCGTCACCACGTGGTGCATTAAGATAAGACCCACGTGTATCGGTACCCGTATATCGTAACTGGCACGCCAGCATGCGCATATAACACAAACATGACTTAATCCTTTTAACAATCCATTATCATTGTTAACAATGTTATTATGATTAACATTTTTATTCATTTTCTTGTTATAATAAAATTAATTATCTATGTATTCATTATATAATGGTGGTCTTTAAATAATATCTTATATATTAATATTGCATTCTACATGTAAATTGAAATTTTATTATATTTCTCATCTAATTTTATCATCATAAGTTTAATTAAAGTTCTTTATTAAATTTAGAGACACAAAAGATTATTAGCCAAAGTTAGAAATACACTTTAACTTGGACGGTGTATTATTTTTGTAAATTTATCTCGCTAATACCTACACCTCTGCCATATAATAATAACGCATCTTAATGCACTCTAAATGGTATCCTCAGGATCTCGATTATCACATACATATGTAGATTGAATATATAAATATACTAAATCGATAAAAGCGAACACAATCATATTTGATTTGTTCGCGTATGGTTAAAGGGATAAACTGCGGACGGATAAGATGTCTGACCTGCTGAAGATGTCCTTTAACTCATGCTCGGACACGAACTGGCCCAGGTTCGCCACGAAGAGGGTGGAGCATTGCGCATTGCTGACGGCTATGTTCGGCTGCGACGAGGGTGATCCGACCGGTGACGCCAGTGTTGGCGACGGTAGAAAATGAGGCAGCGACGCGTGTATCGACGTCAACGTCGTAGGATGCGGCAGGGACATAGGCGCCTGTAAAATATAAATACTTCCGTCACTCGGTTCGCTCCGTTCGGCCATGGAGTAGTCGATCTGCTCGCACAGATCGACGCGTTTGCGTCAATTCGCTCCGGTTTTCCCATCCCTACATCTGTCCCTTCGATAAAAAACCTTTTGTACCTTTTCAGACAACTAAACAAAAACTAAAGTCTAAAGGTCATCTCGACAAAAATGTACTTCCTCCAAGGAAGCTTTGACGCGTATATCTCGTTTCCAAAAATGTCAAAATAAATAAATATCTAAAAAAGTAAAGTCCAAAAGAAGTTTAAATTAAACTTAAAAAGTTTAAATTAAATGTTCTGTTTTTTTTAATTAAAATATTTTCTACACATTTTTTTTAATATATTCGTTAATATGCCAATATTATATAATAATGCTTCTTTAACATAATGGCCTTAGATTTTACAAAAAAGAATCGTAAGAGTCATGTTGCTTTTAATTGCAAATAAAATCGTAATATAAATTTTTTCTTTTTTATTAAATTTTTTTTTATTCCTAGATATCAAATTGTTCGACCAGTACAATATTTTTTATTAATAAATTATAAAAAACAACGATTGATCGTAATAACTAGTTGATTACATTAAATATAGATAATGCAAGAAAACATAACAAACTTCTTATCTAAACGCGTATAAAATGTGTTTGCATAGCATAAAAGAAACAATTCTGAATTATTTGCATCGAGTATCATTATTATCTCATCAAAGTGATGATAAATTTCGTCAACGATATTCTCGATTTCATCAAGTCGCTGAGAACGCATTTAATCAAGTTGGATCGCAAGAGATATTCGACTTAATAAGTTCCGACGTTATTGTTACCAGATTCTCGGTTCGTTATTCCTCGAGTGGATATCTCGAGATTCATTTCTTTTTTATTTCCGTTAAAGGAAAAGCAAGATGCGTACAGAGCAAAAGAAAATAATAGCGCGAAGTAGAGAGTCTTCGATTTATCAAATGTTCAATACAATGGATTTTCTCTCTTGCGGATAAATTCGAGGAATATCGGTAATAGTCACAATTTTAATAATAAGGATAATTTGTGTTTGAGATTTCGTGCGAGCTATAAAATTGGCTTACCACGAAATTTCAATCACTTCTAGAGCTTTGATTATATAATTCTTTTTAATTTTTACTGAATATCTTGAGATAAATTTCATATTCCATGGTTGTATTCGTGTAAAATTATGTTTAAAAATTTAATTTAAGTTTTGCAACCAATATACTTTATCAACCAATATACTTTACCAGATTTGTTCTATCAAGGTATTAAATAAGAAGAAAGAACTTAAGAATTAGAAAATTTTTAAAATTGAATAATGTAAGAAGGGTTTACAGATTTAAAAACTTAACCATATGAAACAGTAAGGTTAGGGACATAATTCAATAACAAAATATTTTTAAAAAAAATTACCTTTTAAATTTAAATATAAAAAGATATTTACATACCTTAGAATATAAAAATTTAAAATTTGCGAAATCAAAAGATCCAAACAAATATAATTTTCAAAAATTTTTATTCGTAAAATTTCAAAGTTTTTAAATTTAGCTGTCAATTTTCAAAATTCAAAATTTTAAAAGGATTGAACACTGGATATCAGAAAATATTTACGTAAATGTTGTATCACGATTCTTTATATTCCCGATTCTGCAATTCGCTGTAGCGTGCAACAAAATGATATTGATTTGCTATCACGGACACATAAAAAGTATCGCATAATATCTACACAACGCGATCGATAAAGTTCAGATTGTATCGCGCTCGTACACATTCGTGACTATATGGTCGCATTATTTGTCCTCGAAATCGGTAGAAGTGTTCACGAGCAAGTTACGGCTCAGCATTAATGCGTGACAGATATCCGTGTGAACTTGGCACAGGCTTATACGATATTAAAAATCAATAGAACCGATTTGGCGAATTGGTACCGCATCGGATTGGTATCGCCAATGTCTCTTAAAGAGGGTTGAAAGTATACTCACATCAAGCAATTTTTCTAATATTTCGAGCTTCCATTGAATATTAATATTTTCTTAAAATTCATTAATAAATGCAATTTACCAATTTTTAATCGTATCAAGATATAAATTAGATCCCTCCCTCTTTAATTTTACACTACATTCCATAAAATTTAAACGAGAATATATTCCAAGAGTAACAAAAGTTCTAATATGGAAAATGTATATACTCCTATTTCTATATCTTCTCATATCTCTTCATTTAATTTTCCACGTATCTTTAGATTAGATGCTGCTAATTACCTAACATGCGCTTATCAATGTTATTTATGGTTGAAATACCTTACTCTCTTCATCTATCTTCGTTAATAATTATGAATAACCCTGACTGTAGATATCATCAGCGTAATACCCATGAAATATTAAATACTCTTTCCAGCTCGTAAAATTAAACCGAAAGTACGTACGATGCGGCTAGACCAAAATACCGTACTAGAGAAAAAGTAAGCTACGGATTTATTAACGCTGGTCTACAGCAGCCATAATTAATCCATGTCGCGGAACAAACTACGGAGACATCGCAATAGCTTCGAAACTCCACGATTCGAAGCTTGCGTGACATGTACCTATACGATTACACGTTTCTGTTTAATACGTGAGGACACGCAGTGCGACGACAAGTTGCGCTATCGATTTTATGACGATCTAAAGCATAATATTCAAATACAATACAGCTAACGTTACACGTTTATGCAGAAAAGATGTTATTTATAATAACCCGCATAATTCATTACATTTATACCCTATTGCCGCTTTTATATTACATTGATACAGAATTAGATATCACTACCGCATCAAATTTTAACAACGCGCTTTCTGATCGAATTACAACTGACCCTTTCTCATAATAAACATACGTTTTAAATAAAATTATTAATAATAGATAATGTTTTAAAAATAAAAATTTAAACATGTAAAAGAGCAAAGCTTTATAATCTCTATTTAATTTTATTTTAATCTTATGATTTAAAAATTGATTACAAAGATTATAAAGATAAAAAAATTAATTTAATTATAAAATAAGAATTAAATAAAATTAAATTAGTTTCAAAATAAATCATTCTCAAGTTTGATGCAATATTGACAAATCCTCTAAAAATCTATTCTTCGAAAAGATTTATAAATCTAAAAATCTAAAAACGCGAGAGATTACCGTTCCGCGAATTTAAAAATGCAGAAATCCGAATGTTCGGAGCATTCAAAAAGAGCTTCAGAGAGCTAAAGCGCTAAAGGACAATATCCAAGATTCTAGAGAATCCAGGAGTCGAGGACTCAAGGTAGCCATGAACGAAAGTATCTCCAGTCCTTGAGTCCTCGTGAATCTCCTTGTTACCATGTAAGAGTAATCGAGTATAACGATCATGTATCACTAACGTGCATCGGGGCGCTCGTCGGCGGCTCCAGAGCTTTGTCTGCAGATAGTCAAAGATAGGAACGTACGGGGACCTGAGGATGTAATGCCGGGTGCACCAACGTCGCATGTTGCAGCGTGCCCGGTAATTCGCCGGCTGTAGAGTACGCCAATGGATGATGCCACAATTCAGGACCACCGGGGAAGAATGGACTCCCTAGGTCTGCAATAGAGCATAGGATTAGATAGAGTCACTCCCCCGAGTAATTAAACGCGCGGTTGCGAACCGCGTTTCACGCGCGTTCTCGCTTGCCAGGATATCTACTGATACTAGATATATCAAAGATGAACTTTTACTTTAATACCGGGTGTATCATAAATATATTTGAATTTAATATGTTTTCCAAGCAGAGAGCAATATTAATAAAAAATTGATTGATTAAATATCTATGTCTAAAAATGTATGTTTTAACAAAATAATAAAATCATAAAATTGTAAAATAAGTTCAAGTATAAAAGTAAAAAATGAGATCTTTAGACATCTTTATTAAAAATATAGAAATACATTAAAAATTTTATTTACAGTAGATATTCTGTTCATTATTATTGTTTTTATATTAAACTTTTAACATTTTTTGACAGCCTTTATGTAAAATCTTATTAAACATGATTTTTACAACACACGAAACATTATATTACATTTCTTCTTATAAAATATTTTTCAAATTTATTTTTTTTGTTAACTATGCTAACAATTACATAAAAACAATTACATAAAAACTGCCTAGTAATTTTTAATATAACAAAACTAATAATATTTATTATTAACAGGTCACGGAACTGAATTATCCACGATCAAAACAAGTTATTTAAATATTGCATGAAACATATTAATTATTCGAGATAAAACGCACTTTCCCAGTGCGGTGAGGAAAGTCGCGCCAATTTGCGACATAAATTATTTTAGAATTGTAATCATCCATTTTTAATGTACTCATTACAATAAACAGTACGCAAAATTATTTTGTCCCACTCACGATTGAGATTAGATGTGATTGCACAAAAAAACGAAACATTACGTAATTCATGTAGCAAATGTTTACTTGTGGTCGAAGGAAAGCGGACGCAATTCGATCAATGTTTTGCGAGCCTAGCGATTACGCGATCGATAATATCCAATTTACGAGTTCTTTCGCTAAAAATTATCAAGCATACAAAGATAGAAACGTTAATTACAGTATTGGGAGATTTTTTAAAGTTGAACGATAAAATTAAAAAAGATCGTGCAAATGGAAACGGATGCATTAAGGATTATCTTGATGTATAATTATAAATCGCAATAAAATAATGATTATATCTATATATAAATAGAAAAATATAAATTATTGAATGTCAATGTAGTTAATAAATAGCACGATATAATACATGTCAAATTAATATCGATAAGCACACATATACATATTCACATACAAATGCGCAAAAAATGAATAAAAAATATTATTTTTTATCTTTTAAAGATTATGTAAAATCTTTTTTTTATAGATGTTTCTTTATATTTTTTATTTAAAATAAATTAATAGCAAATCATTTAAATAAAAAAGAAATCTTTATTTTGTTATATAAAATATGTATATTTTGCAACATAAATTTATTTCATTATTAATGATTTAATTTCAATTATTTTTTATTTGTGTTAATTTTCATTTAAAATTTATTTGCTTATAAATAACATGTAAATTGCCACCATTTGCCATTCAAGTAAAATTTAGAAGCTTCGTGTCGCAAATATTGCCACTCCAGAGTACACCGCGACGCAGATTATTCGCGGTGTAATGGCAGAGCATAGTGCGCCATCGAGCGTAATCGCCGACAGCACGACATGAAAAAAATGGTCTTCTTGGAAGCCGGTAAATCGCTGGAGAGAGACTTATGATTAGGCGTTACGAGCCAGTGACAATGGTAAACCGAGCGAGCGTCTTCTCAATGATTCACCGGCATACCTTCGTTTGCGACTTCATTTGCGACATTGATCTCGTTATACAATACATAATATTTATGTCATTTGTTTTCATCAGAACGTGTACTTATTTCGTTCTAATTTCTGAGCAATTTTGATTATTAGCTTAATATAATGTAATCGTAAGATATCTCTATTAAAAGATTCAAACCGTGAAAATGCTAGCAAATCTTTGAATAATGTTTTTTTTTGTATATCTGTTTTTTTGTGTTACTCGCATATGAAATTGCTTTTGCATTTGCAAGAGAAATACGAGAAAAGACATCGATAAGATCGATGCAAATCAATGCAAAATTTGCATCCATATTAAAATGCGCTTTTTTCTTTGCGATCCACAAATGCATAATTGTTACTCAAATATAAATTGCCAAAGTTATAGTAGAGAATATACAACAAAATACTTCATACGCCAAGTATTGCGAATATCTCACTTGTTTGCATACATCAACTAAGCAGCAGTTGTTACCCGATCTGTATTGTTCATTCTTTGATGACAAGCTACCTATAATCTTATATAAATCTTAAAATATGTTTGACATCAATATATTTACAATCATGCTGAAATTTATTATTGCAATTTTATATATATAATTTTTCAATATTTTTACAATAAATAAAATTGTATAATTCAATTATACTTTGTTCATATATAATTTAATTTCATATTTAAATTTTACCAAATCCTTTTCGATATTACTTTTTAAAATATTTTCTTACTATAAATATAAGCACATTTACTAGAATTATGATTATATAATAAAGATTAAATTATAATTTACAGTTTTTGAGATTATTGGTGTAATTATATTACATATTGCACAATAAAATCCAATTAATTAAATTATTGGTTAATTAAAATTATTTATTTGTTAAAGAATTTTAAAGTACAAACAAAAATTAGAAGTGATGAAGAGAAAATCAATCGTGGAAAATATAATTACAAATTTATTATAATATTTTCGATTTAACATTCCATTAAATAATTAATTAACCAAAATCATTTTCTCCCTCTCTCTACTTTTTTGTTAGAAATTAATTTTGAAATTGTGTTGAAAGATACTGACGAAAACTAATTATATCCGCAACAGTGATCATATTGTTTTTTATTTAGAAGCCAATTTTTACGTAACAGTTATGCAATAATTTACTTTCCTAAAAGTTGTTCAACCATTGTAAATTCCATGAAATCCCTTGAGATTTGTACCTTGAGCAAAGAATCGCCTTTATTTCTATTAAAATGCGATCGTTCGCCAAAAGAAACCGGTGCATTAACCATTATGTATATACGTCTGCCATTTGGTGGTGTGTTTTAGTCCCTGCCAGGACTATGCACTTTATTGATTCTAGGCTGACCTCCGATTCGCATGGCGAAGCACACGAGAACGAGTAAACGTCCACCGTCTAGGGAGAAAGCTTTCACTGTTGTCGACGATCAGACTTTTTTATTTTCTCTCCATTTATTTCACGAACGACAAGTAAATCCAATAAATTGGAAAACAACGCGTTACCTTTCAATTTATTCAACTGTACAAAATGTGGATCTATTTCTCAATTAAATATAATCATGAAAAAGCATGTCCATTCTCCGCATTAATTCTGAAATCAAACACTCCATAAAATTTGTGCAACAACAAATATATATATATATATATATATATATAGAGTAACAAGAAATTAAGAATGTATAAATGATTTAGTTAGACGTTTATACGCATACGATATTTATTTTTAATTGATTATTGTTTGATTCATGATTCTTCATCATAAACTTTCACTTATCTTCAAATAATGATGTAATTTAAACGTGCAACATAATACTAGCATGTACATATGGTGTAACAATAATGATAAATCTATAACTTTGATGACTCGCGTTCTTCAGTCTTATTCTGTCTTCCTCCATCGAAGCAATCCAATTCTCATGTATTCGTTAATAAAGGTACGCTAGAATATCTTATTTAACATCTCTCACGCGTTCATAGAGTGTCGTCAGAATATAGCACAGTATAAATGCGTTTGCACAACGTATTTTTTTCTTTATAATCTTCATAATCATGATATAACCGAGTGATTAATTCTAATCTCAGAGATGTATCTTTGTCAATGTATATTTCCACACTGCACATGTCATATGTCTTATTTACAATTAACGTAAATTTTTCACGTAAATTATATGCAAATTATATTTATTTACGTATTTCGTCAAATTAATGACTGCAATAATTAATTGAAGTTTCTTTTCTTTTCTATTACGTTTGTTAATGTTATTAAATAAAAATTAAATATGAACTTTTATAAAACGGAACAGCAATAAGACAAAAATACTATATAACTATAAAATTCTCAAATATTTAATATTTATTATAATTTATAAACTATACTTATATTTTATTAGCACGTTCATATAAATGTGGTTTATATTAAAAATATTATATACGAGTTTCTTTTGTTATTATAGCTAATATTAGCTATTTGTTATGTGCACTATTCATTATGTGTAATTTATTTCTCACTTTATTTTACATTTAAATTTTAATACATCAAATTTTAATATTATCAGCACGATAAAAAATTAACAACCCAACGCAAAACAAAATCAGACAGCAAATAAGACTTTACGTTAGTTTATAAATAACTTGTTTCAATATTTGTTATTAACTTTATGTCGTGCCAACAGCGATATAAATCGATATATTTTTAAAAATAAATAGCTTTAGCAAATTACATTTTATGTAAATCAACTCGACTCATTTTCCATATAGCTCGATTCTCAGAGGTAGATTTATATACTCGTTAAAAATAAAAGAGCAATATCATACATATCAAATGTACATATCAAATGTACAATTATGAGAATTCTCGGCCCGAGTAGATGCAGTTGTTACATTGTTTATTGTCGTCGACCACGCAAAACGTGAGGCTTATAGTCGTTGACAATTATTCTCGATGTCTCTACACGAATGAGAAATGAAATATTCGAATGAGAGATGAAAAAAAATTATACGGGAAAACGGTTCTCTTTGAAAAGACGCACAGTTCCTGTATCGATTCTCGGCCGTCATTTGTGACACGCGCAACTCTCGCGACTACGCGAAACAGTGCACATGGCCTTTCGCACGAACCACACTATATAACGTACCTTCTTGGCATGGCGATACGAACGCACATGTGAACGGATCTATGTTAACATTAACGACTATTGCAGT